CCACAGGTGGCTGTGTCTGCCACTCCTGCCCCACAGAAACTGTGTCCTGAGAAGGCCTCAGGCCCCAGCCCCCCCTCTCCCCTCTCCCAGGGGAGATAGCCTCTCTCCTCCCCACTTGTCGGGCTCAGTCACCCATCAAACTCAGCTCAGGGTCCACTTTCTCAACAAAAATTTCCCTGACACCACAGCACAGAACGTTTTTTGCCTTCCTGTGAACTCTCCTGGTGATTGTTACTGACAATATTTATTTGAGTATCAATTGTATATTGACTCCTGCTGCCTTTCCAGTTATAATCTTGGGTGGGAACTTAAATCTGATATTGTTTTCAGTTTCTGGAGGAAAGAATTAGCCTTGGATATCTATTCCCATGGAATTCACATGGTATCTTTGCACATATGTGTCAGAATCACCTTCAGGGCTCAATGAAATAATGCAAGAATAGCGTGAAAGGTGCTGGCAGGTTGAGGCCCCTACAGTATCCCATTTAATCTAACCAACAACAGTGTGACACGTGCTTATCTCCTCTGTTTTTACAGAGGGAACAAAGGCTCGTGTGGATTAAATAATTTGTCCAAAGTTGCACAGCTTAGGTGGAGAGGATGCTGAGGTTTCAGCCTACTCTTTTTTTTTTTTTTACCCCAAAGCCATATTTCTTTGGCTAAACCCCTCTCTACAAAACATACACTGAGCACCTGCTTCATGCAAAACACTGTGCCCAAAACACAGGCCTGAGATGGGGTCTGCTAAGTGAGAGAAATTCTCAGCTCCGTGTGTCTTTAAGGGGGGCCCTATCCCACCTACAGATCTTGCCCATAACTCCAAAGGCAAAAGGAGTGACTGCAGTGGTTCTGACAAGGGCTTTGGAATAACAGCCTTAGTGTGGATCCCTGCTCTGTGACTTTCTGATCCTGGGACCGTGGGCAAATTACTTACACATTCTGAACTTCAGTTTTCTCAACTGTAAAATGGGAACAACCATCACGTCCACCTTAAAAGGTTACTGGGAGGCTCAAAGGAGTTAACCCTTATAAAGTATCCTGCATATCGCAGGACTGTCCCCTCTTAGCTCCCAAGTGCTGCCGTGGCTACGGCTTCTGCTGCACCTGGGGCTGCAATTGTCCTGTGGGGCCCAAGCATTTGGTTCATGGAAGAATTTGGCTGAAAAGGTGGGGATGTGATGGTGGAAAACCTTTTTCATCTATATGAATCACTGAATTAGTCTCCATTCCTTTCAATTATCAACCCCTGGAAGACAGAGATGGTGCCTGCCCTTTTTTTTTTAACTATTGGATTTGATGCAATTCCAGAATTAAAAGTCTGACTTCTTGTTGTCGGAAGTTCTTGGCCATTTTCCCCAGTGGCATTGATCATGGGTGACATTTGCATATGCTCAGGGGTGTGACCAGGTCTGTGTGACATTTCATTCCTGGCACACTATTCCGTGCCATCTCTGTGCCTCTCCAGGAAGCATATTGGAATACAAGTGAGTCAGAATGTTATTATAGTAATCAACCTTGACGGCTCAATAATTTATAATTCAAACAGTAAAAATTGTCCACAAACTTGAGCTATTAATAGTAGCAAGTGATGTGTGGGACAACAGTGAGCCTGACAGTGTCATTTAGGGGGGAGAGGAAGTAGCCCAGGATGAGGACATGTACATAGACGTGTCCTGGAGAGAGGCAGGCCACCAAAAATGGATGGCACCCTCGATGAATGGGTGCTCTCGTGGCTATTTTTTGCATAAACTCTGCCTAATTAGAGTAACGGAATCTTCATGCTAACAAACATAGCGTGACTTACCGATGGCCAGTGTGATGGATGGGCTGGGTTAGCCTCAGTCCTCAAAACACTCTGAGCACTTTCCTATTTGAGAATATTATTCCCCACCACCCCGCCTGCTGCGTCCTATCGAGTTAGCCCTTGCCTTACTTTTCCCTGCTCTTCCCGATCAGGCTTCTGATCCCCGAACTTATCCAGTGTGACCCCTGATCTACTAACCCGGCTTTGTCCATTCGCTGCCCAGAGTGCAAAACACGGCCTGCCGCCGAGACCCCCCTGCCCTGCCAGCCGTCTCCAGGCTTGCTCAGCAAACTCCAATCTTAGCCCGTCGCCTGCTACCTTTGTGCCAGAGAGCATCTTAACAGCCCACTGGGCTCCCACAGCCTCGCGCGCCCCCCGACAGCCGTCTTGGTCACACAGCCCCTCATTCCTTAGGGAAGCTGTTTCCAGTGTCTGTCACCCCGAAGTCCCCTCCCTTCCACCTCTCCATCTCGCCCTCAGCAATGGCCTTGTCTCCTGCTCTGTAAGGAAAATAGACGTCAGACAGGAAAGCCCTGGGAGCCCCCCTGCTCCCCGCCCTTTCCTCATATTTGCACCCAGCCTTTCCTCCCGGCCCCCGCGTGGCTTCTCCTCTGGGGGTGCACGTTCGCCCGCTGCTTCCCGGCTGGAAAACTGACTCAGAGGCTTTGCCCTCCGCTGCCTCCTCTGCTGGCTCTTCTCCGTCAGCACTTAAACATGTTCAAACCTTTGTCATTTTGGAAAAACCTGCTGGTGTCCCTGTTTGCTTTCCCTTCCCTGGCGAGCTTCCCGGAGGAGTCGCTTACCTCTGTCCTCACTTGTTTGTCTCTCCTTCCCTCTTAACCCACCTCGATCAGGCCAGACGCCAGCAGTTCCCTGACCCTTCCGCCCTGTCCCAGCTGCCGGACTCCATGGACACTGGTCAGGCCTCGTCTCTCCCAGCCTTTCGCTCAGATGTCACCTCCTTAGAGATGACTTCCCTGGCCACCTGATTCCAAGACAGCAGCCCCTTGACTCTCTAACCCCTATCCTACTGATTTTTCTTTATGGGACTTATTGTACCTGAGATCACATCATACACACACACACACACACACACACACACACACGAAGTGTGTACACACACGTACAGGGGGGGAAAAGTCTGTTTACAGTTATGAGCATGCAAAACAGTTTATCCTTGTATTATTACTTACTAATTATTGTATTATTTTCTCATATGAGCAACTGTAAGCCTGCTTTTTCCTCACCGTCTATGTATATATACACGTGTGTGTATATGTGTGTGTGTGTGTGTGTGTGTGTATACATATATATATATATACCCATGTCCTATATTTTTAACCAGAGGGCAAGCATCTCTGTTGCCTCGTTCACTGTTGTGTCTCAGCACATAGATGGGCAGGTACTAGGTAAAACTGAACAAATGCTTCTATTTTATTTTATTTTTTAAGATTTTTTTATTGACTTTTAGAGAGAGAGGAAGGGAGAGGGAGAGAAACACCGATTGGCTGCGTCCTGCACGTCCCCTACTGGGGCTCGAGCCCGCAACTCGGGCACGTGCCCTGACCGGGAATCGAACCAGCAGCCATTTGGTGCACGGGATGATTTCCGACCAACTGAGCCACATCGGCCAGGCACAAGCGCTTCCATTTGAGAGTGAGCCCCGAGGCACTGAGACCTGAAGCCGCCTCTCCTGGAGTTCCTGGGAAGGCAGGGATTTTTGAGCCCACTCCTGCGGTCACCCCGCTGCGCCCTGTCCCGTCGCTTCCTTGGCCGGTGCCTGGGGCTGGCCCCAGAGATACCCCGAGCTGCTCCCTCTCCCGCCCACCAGGCGGACCTGAGGCGCCAGGGCGTTTCCCGGACGCTGGAGGAGGTGCAGAAAGCCGTCTACCATCTGACCACAGAAATCAGCAACCAGGACATCCGCTTCCAAGCCATCCCGTACTCCCTGGTGTACAACGAGAACATTAAGGTGAGCGGTCCCCTTGGCTCTGGGTGCCCGCCCAGGGAGCCTGGACCCTGGGGTGGGCCGGACTCAGTACGTGACAGGCACCGACACCCCTAAGAAGAATCATAACCACACTCCCTGTTTCCACGGGTACTCTTAGTATTTACCATTTACAGGGTCATTTGAACGCCCACATTTCTACTTTCCAGATGACAAAAATCGAGACTTAGGGAAATCAAATGACTCGATCAGTCATATTAGGCACTGCAGCCAGGACACATACTGGGGCCCTGGTCCCAGAGTTTGTGCCCTTATAGCGATTAATGTTTAGTGAAACACCTGTTCACTTATCGAGCAACTGCTTATAGATGGGGGACTGGGCAGAGGGAACTCAGGCATCGTTGAGAAAGTAGCTGAAAGTGATAGTCTGTGGCTTGCAGGTGGGGGAGGGAAGAGAATGGGAGAGGTGGCCTTTAGACATTGCAGGAGCAGCCTGATAACCCCTGTCCCTGCTGAGGAGCCCCCAGAGCCATGAGCCACCAGGGCCAGAGTGTGACAGCCCACGTTCATGTGACACTGCGATGGGCAAAGCTGTGCTCACAGGCATGGTCTCACTCAAACCTGCAGACAGTCCTGTGGGAGACATTAGGGTTCTCTCCCTTTAGGGAGGAGAGAAGTGAGGCTCTGGATTATTCTGGATCCCCGTGCCCCTTTATCTCGATTTCTCTTATGACACATAAGAACCCCTTTCATTTGTGCTAAACTTATATGTACTCATGCCCCCTTCTCACATCAGACTACATTCCTCGTTTGTAAGGGTCACGCTTGTTGGTGGCTCTGTTCCCGGCCCCCAGCATGGTGTGGCCTGCGGCAGACACTCAATTTCTGTGGAATGAGTGAATGAGCAAAAGCGTTAGTATATGAATAAAAGACCGTTGGAGTCCAGTGCATTTCAAGGTGGGTGGGCATAGGGACCTCCGATAAGATTCTGGCACTTGTGCATCTTGAAAAAGAGTCAGATCTCAGGAAATTCACCTCAGGATGAAAACTGTGAGACGAGATGGAATCCTGGAATGTCAGAACAGCATCTCCCACCTCTACCGCCCACCTCCGCTGCCACCTAAATTAGACAAAAGTAGACCAGTGCCTGGGAATGGAAACATAGCATCATTTTTTGGTAGAGCTAGATCCCAGGAAATTTCCTTCTGGGAGAAAACGCCCTATAAACAGTAGGACCCCCTAAAGTCCCAGGTCTCATTCACTCTTCTTCCTTGCAGACTCATGAAACCAAGAGCTCAGTGAGTTCATTCACCTGCTCGAAGCATCACGGGGGTTAGTGGCAGGCCCAGGATGGGCCCTCTTGCCGTGGGCAGGCGCAGCCCCCTGTCTGCCTCGCCGCGTGGCTGAGGGTTGAGTGGTTAGCGGAGCCGCCCGGCTCAGCAGGCCGGCTGCAGGGGTCTCCTGCGACCTCCCAAGCCTGAACTCACACCCCCTCCCCCTCCTCTCCTGCCCCCAGGTGCTGGCCCCCAGCCAGTTCCTCGTCACGGTCCCAGTGAGAGGCCTGGCCGGGTACAGGGAGGCCAGGGAGCACCGCTGGAGGTACTACACCCTGCAGGGCGCCCGGCAGCCCTGCCCCCTGCGGGCCCCCGAGGGCCTGCAGCAGTGGCTGGAGGTGCAGCAGTTCACGAAGAGCCTGTGGCAGTGGCACGAGGCAGATGTGAACATCGAGGGGGACATCGTGCCCGCCAAGGTCCTCCAGGC